ATTACTATTATTTGTTCTTGGAGTGCCAACTTGGCAGGCCTAAGGCAGAGAGGAGGGTACGCCATGCCCAGAATCTCATCGTGGAGAATAAAGTGGTAGAGGTGGGAATAAAGGCGACTCTACGCTTTATGCTTTTTCTTGGAAGAAGCTGACGCCAGCATGTCCTCATGGAATTAGCAGGAAATTTCCATTGCAGAGTCTTTGTCTTCTCTAAGGGGAAAAGACTGCTGAACCTTGATTTTTTTTCCCCCCCAAACAGGAAACTAGATTTCAAAAAGACACAGCCCTGTTCTCCTCAGGTAACACAGTCTTATTTCTTGATGAGAATTGGCTATACGAACCAGATCGGAAGTCTGAAACCACAGCCAGGTCTGTGTAAGCAAATCCAATAGGAGTTCTGAGCCGCTCATTATGTACTGAACTATCGAGCCAGTTGTGTTCTCACGTTCCAATCGAGTCAGTGCAGAGGATTTTTTTATTTTTTATTTTTATATGGGCTAAGTTTTTTTTTTCTTCCCTGATGAACACCCTTCAAGCAATATAGTAAAAAAAAAAAATAAAAAATAACTAAGAGAGTGTTCATAAGGGAAGGCCTTTTCAGCCTTGGTATTATAAAATCATACTCAGGATATCAAAGTTTCCTTGTCTTTGTGGGTTGTGCTATTTATGTCTACGCTGTGTACCGTGAGGCGTCCCTCATTTAGTAATTGCCTTGGCGAAAGGTCAGTGAAAATTATTCAAACCGATGGTGGCAGGCCAGCAGCCACCTCTTCGTGTGCTACAGCCCCCAGTGACACAGACTCTCCCAATCAGTAGAAGGTCGTGGAAATCAAATCAGTGAGGAAAAACGCTTCCCCAGCCTCTGGACTTTCCATGCCTCCTCGTTATCATTGGACCAAGTTTGAACATGACCGCTGTAGAATAGCTTTGGATATACGGAGAGTTACTAATCGACCTCTCGTTCTGCCTGGTGGGACATTGAAGACTCTCGTCTGCAGTGCTGCAGTGAAAGCAGATAGAATCGAGGGAGTTGTTTGGTCTGTGTTCTCTAGGGCCGGTTACCGCTCTGGCGCTGATGATTCCTGTTTTCCACATTATTCATTCATGCTCTCACGCACTCATTCATTCGTTGAACACAAATAGCGTGTCATGTTCAGTTCTTGATAAAATGGTATATGAAATGGATGCGGTTCCTACCTGAAAGCACCCTGTTTGGAGGGATGATCAAGGAACATCTCTCTCAGGAGATAACATTTGGACTGAGACTCATGACTAGGCAGCAGCTGTGTAAAGAGTAAAGAACATTTTCGTCTGGGGGTTGAGTGAGCGTGAGGGGTCTGAGCAGGGAAGGGCCTTGGCACTTTCCAGCACTCAGAGCAGCTTGAGCTTGGCGGGAGCCTGTGGCCCAGGCGTAGAGGAGTGTGGGTGGGGATGGAGAGCTAGGCAGGGGCCACGCCGGGCTCGCAAGTCCAGCCAAGGAGTTTGGATTCGGTTCTGAGTGGGGTGGTAACCACTGAAGAGAATGACACGATCTATGTACATGTTCACAAAGACCACTTTGGTGGCTGTGTAGAGAGGAGAGATCAGTTTAAAGGTTATGTAGAGTAGTTTAGTGAAAAGATGGCGGTGTATTGGTGGAAGGTGGGGAGGTGGAGACTGACAGCCATATTTGGGTCTAATTGATGAACAGAACTATGGAGTAGAGTTGAAAATTATTCCAGTGAGCCTTCTGCACTATCCCAGATGGCCACATGTGTGGCGTGTGTGCAGAGGCGGCAGGGGTCGTGAGTCCTCAAGTGGTTACTTGTGGGTCCCTGTGCTGTGGTCCTCACTGGCCTCTGCTGGTGGCTGTCATTATCTGCTCTCGACCTTGGGTCCTTTGTGTGGACATGCTGTACTGATAGAAGACTACTCAGCTTGTGCTTTTGTGTTTTTGCCTCAGTTGGACCTCCTGGGCCTCCCTGGCTGGCCCCGCCTCCCCGCAGGGCTCATCTAGGTCCTCTGTTTGGCTCCTGCCTAGGCTGTAGCACCTTGGGGTTAGGGCCACCCTGCCTTCCCTGGCATGGCAGGTGAGGACCTCTGAGTCCCTGACCCCCCATGGAAGGGCAATAGGAGGCCTGCAGATGCTAGCTTCGGCCTCTCTCTCTTCCTGACTCATCAGACCAGGCGGCATTTTCACTTCGATGCGGCCAGCCCTATGTATGTATGGAGGTGGCCCTGCCAGGCTTCCTCTTTTTCCTTACTCCACTGGGGTGCGAGGGGAAGACCTTTTACTTCTCTTTCCACTTGATACGAATTCGTCTTGTGTCACATCCTTGTCTTCCGCAGGACAGCAGGCTGTATGGCCCAGCTGTCATTCGCATCCCTTCCTAAGCTATATGAGATATTCACAAGATCTGAGGCTACCAGGCTGGCTCTCCATATGGGAACTGTGGGCCTATGGATTTATTGAGGTTGAGAATACATTGGTTTGTTCCTCCAAATTATTGTCCTTGTTACACTTGGTATTGGTAGGCACGGCCAAAGTTGTCAGCACCAGCGTTAACTGGGGTCATAGTTTGGCTTATATTGTTAAATGGCTCTTTTCTGCCTGTAGGGTGTGTAAATGCCTAAGCAGGGCAATGAGGGCTTTCTGTGATAGGGCCTGAGGGCAGCCTCTAGCTGTCTCTCGCTGCCCCTCTTCTCCTACCCCATGCCCTGGCCAAATTGGACTTCTCAGTGTTTTTCCAGTATGCTTCATTCATTCATTCATTCATTCATGCTTCTATACCTCGGTGCACTGGCTTATGTAGGACATTTCTTAGTAAATGCTTCCCTTGTTCCTTTCTCCCCTTTTTGCATGTTTCATGAAAATCCTACACATCCTTCAAGGCCTGGCTCATGTGCTATATCTGAGAGATAGCCTCAGAGACCTTCAACTTGGACCCATTGCTACTTCCTCTTATGTTCTTACGGCACTTTGCCTTTGTTGTGAACCTTATCAATTTCTGTTTTGTGTTGGTGTGTATATCTGCTTTTTACTTCTAGATTAGAAGCTTCTGTCTGGGGGGGGGGGGCGGGAAGGCCAGACAATACATAGCCAAATACGGACTATATATCACTATCACCTATGCATCCTGTCACCTTGCTTTGCACACAAAGGCACTTGATAATCAACAAATAATGAGTATACACTACATAAAGCTCTGTAAATCTCACATTAAAAGCTTTGAAACAAGTATAGAGGTGCTGTTTTTCCTAACATTTGGTGGCATTTTTCTATTAAATCGCCATGCAGACCTCTTGGCCTGAGATAGAATGAGCTGTGGCAAACAGGTTTTCAACCTTTTCTCCCAGGCCCATGAAATAGAATGTCATTTTATTTACAGGGGCCTGTGGAGGCCCCCCAAACATGGCAGCACAATCATATATCAGGAACCCCTATCATAAATGAGCCGGACAGGATAAGCCAACTTGAAAGAGAAAATAAAATATTATAACCCCAACTTGAAAAGAAAATATGGTGTGTGGTTTATTGCTGCGGATTATGGAGGAAGAAAGAACGGATTTTAAGTCAAAAACAGAAAAGCAGTGACAGTCTTTAAACGCAATACAATATTCACAGGGCAGACACTAGACTTTAGAAAGCCAAAGGCTTCAGGCTCCTGCTCTGGTCTATAAAATAGATGTAAAATTGCTTTTGCTACATTATTAGTGCTACATTATTAGTGTGCCATTCTAGAGGCAAGGACTGTTTTAGGGGAAAAAAATTAACTTTGATACTTTCAAGTCAGAGTCTGTTGGTTGGAATCTCACGTTGCATTTTAAAGACCTTTAAAGACTGCGGCTTTGGGAAATTCCACTCTGACAACGTGAGCCAAAGAGGGACTTGGAAAGACTTGCTCCATAAGAAATAACTGTAGCCATCCTAGTTGATAAGGTCTGCAATGAGCAGAAATGGGAAGGTGGTCTTCAATAATGAGATTCCCTCTGTGTAGAATTACCTTCCGTTGAGAGTGCCTTTCATCCTTTCCTGAGCTCCCTCACCCCCACCCCTAAGTCTCTGTTGCTTGAAGGTAGTGAGTCATTCACATCTGGTTTAGACACAAAGATCTCGAAAGGGCCTCCCATGACCAAGGCTGAGAGCGGAAACGAAAGAGCACATGTGGAATTTGTTGGTCAGGCTTGGTCTGGTCTGGAGGCATGAGGGTGATGTGTCCAAACCTCGCCGAGTTCGAGGGGACTGAGGTCAGATGCAGTAGGCAGGGACTTCTGCACTGAAGTGGAGTTTGAGCCAGGATGCTCCAGAGGACCTGCCCAACCTGGGCCACACAGTGGTTTGTGTCTTCTGATTTGCTTGTGAGCCTTGGAGACTGGAAGAAATGCACTGTAGCCAGCTCCCTTGAGTCCCCGTTTGCAGATTTTGCCTTGGGTGCAACCTTGATGAAGGTCTAGCTGCTTTTTGTGTCTTTTACAAGACCACTTTAGGTCATTAAATGAATGATCTCTAGGGACAGGGAAGGGGCAACTTAAGTGAGATGGGATGTGCAATTATTTGGGTCTTTCAGGCTGAGGCAGTTGTCTGGTACCCTCATTTCACTGGATTGGGTTGAATCCATTCATTCATCATTTACTCGCTCAGCAAACACTTTTCAGGTGCTCCCTGTGTGTCATGTTCCATGGACTTGACCATCGCCCAGTTTTCCATTTCCATGCCTTTGTTTGTCTAGGCAAATGATTTAGCCTCTTTTGGGGGGTTGGGCAGCAAAGGTGAGCAGAGGAGTTTACAGTCACATACCGGGAAAACCTGGGTTTTTTAGGGAGAAGTGTGTCAGCTGGATCAGACATCTGTGTGCCAGGCCCGAGTCCTATCTCCATTTCAATTTAAATCTCAAACTTAATGGAAACTAAATAAAAACAAGAGCCATTACTAACAGAGTGATTTTTGTTATGTTTCTAGGAGCAACCGAAAAAGAAATCCGTTAATATAAACACAACTTATGTTTTTTGCTTGTTTCCAGATCACCAGATTAAAAATCGATCGAAACCCTTTTGCTAAAGGATTCAGAGATTCTGGAAGAAACAGGTAAGAATAATTGAGAAAGAGACTCACCGACATTTCTCTTCTATGTGACATTTTCCCCCCGGCTCCCCATGCGTGGCTTTTGGCTCCTACTTGTCGGAGACTGCTTGCACGCTAGCCGCTCTGCTGACTCAGGCAAAGAGAAATGGACAGCTGATCCGAGGATCAAAGAGCTGTCCCCCAAAAGTTGAATTTCCCAACTTTCTGTTAACACACTGTACATCAATACTTGGTAATCCAGTCACTTAAAACAAATTTTATGGTGCTTTATTATCCTCAGAAGATTTTGCCACTTTTTCTGATAAGTGCATGGGTGGCTACAGCACTTACACTGACATCTCATTTATTTTGCGTTATCAGGAAACAAGGAATTGTGGACAAATAAAAATTATCAGAAAATTATTACCTTTTAAAAATTTTTTTTAAGTTTATTTTGGGAGAGAGACAGAGAAAGAGAGCATGAGCAGGGGAGGGGCAGAGAGAGTGAGAGAGAGAGAGAGAATCCCCAAGCAAGCTCTGTACCGTCAGCGTGGAGCCCAATGCGGGGCTCGAACTCACAAACCATGAGATCATGACCTGAGCTGAAATCAAGTGTCAAATGCTTAACCAACTGAGCCACCCAGGCGCCCAGGAAATTATTACCTTTAAGAGCTAAAACATTGGTAAGAAATTAGCCATTTTTCTCCTAAGACATGTTCCCAAAATATATTAGATGTTGCCTACCTTGATAAAGACAGTTTCTAAAACCCAACCTTTCCTGATGGCCCAGCATCATTAGGATTTGGTTGTCATATAGGGAAATTCTGAGGAACAGCTGACGTTTGAGGGACTGTTTGCTCTTATTGTAAGTGGACTTAGCGACATGGCATTTTTCTGGGTAATTCTGCTTCTGTCTAAATCCTTTCTTTCTCACCCTTCCTCTGTAAAATTAAAATCTGTTATCCAGAGAGCTAGGTGAGAACTGAAATGGAAACACAGATCTACCTAAAGTTATGCAGTCAGAAAAATTCACTTGATATAAACTGTACTGAAACCACAAATGTGACACGCATGTTTTACAAAGTGTGCAGGTTAAGGGGGGCCTGGGTGGCTCAGTCGGTTAAGTGTCCAACTTCGGCTCAGGTCAGGATCTTACGGTTTGTGAGTTTGAGCCCCGTGTTCAGCTCTGTGCTGACAGCTCGGAACTCGGAGCTGCTTCTGATTCTGTGTCTCCCTCTCTCTCTGCCCCCTTCCCTGCTCCCTCTCTGTGTCTGTCAAAAATAATAAACATTAAAAAAAATTTTAAAGTGTGCAGGCTTTGCAGTAACTATTTGCATTAGTGTTCAGACATTTTCCTCATCCGGGGGGCATGTCTTTACATTCGAAATGACACAGATTGTCAAGAGTTATCTGTGCTATTTTCCGTGCAAGAGTTTTCAGAGAAACTGTTTAGTATTATATTTAGAATCACTTCATGAACTTTATAGCACATTCTGTCAGAACCCAGATGTATGCTAAAAGTCATCTGTAGCGATCATTTCCTTCACAAAATGATTAATGGAAGCACTTCTTTTTTTAAAACATTATTTGCTTTTTTAAACTCTAGGATAATTAACGTACAGTGTTACCTTAGTTTCAGGTATACAGTATAGAGATTCAGCAATTCTATATATTACTCAGTGCTCATTGTGATAAGTATATTCTTCATCCCCTATGGAAGAACTTCTTTATGAAACTCTTTTTTTTTGTATATTTAAAATCCATTTAGATTTCTAGAAATTTTTATTTACCTCAGAATTTCTTGAGGTTACACCTATTGATTAAGGTAGAATTCAGTTGAACTTCTAGTTTGAAGATGACAAAAATTGAGTAATGTGCTCTAGATCAAGCAACTGGTTAGTGGTGTGGCCACACTAGAACTCAGGCATAAGGACTCCAGAAAAGACCTTTGTCCTCAAAATGTAGCCAGTGAGGAATGGGTACTCTCTCTGCCAGTTAGTTTATATCCCATGTTCAGGTTACAGAACTTGCCTGTGAGCTGTTTCCTGTTGCTTCCTTTTCAGGGCTCTGCATTCTAGACTTACTGAGGACCTTGCTAGTGATGATGTTCTCAGAATAGAATTTGGCCTTTGACAAAGAAGTCTTTAGGGTATTTAAGATCTTTAGCTTAAGAGCCCATGGCTGGATTTTGGGGGTTCTGTGAGTTCCCAGATACTATAAGGAAAATCGTGTGTGGATGAACAGGTATGCATTTTTCTTAGGAGAGGTCTCTAGCTTCCTCCAGATTTTTGGAAGGTTCTGTCACCAAAAGTTAAGAATTTCTGCCCTAGACACAGCTGGGGGGTCAACCCTAATGACTTTCGTTATTCAACCACTTTCTCTTTCTTTCCTTCTGTATCTCCAGTGGCATTTAATTATTTGTTTATTTTCTTCTTGGCACTCCAAAGGTTGTTTTGATTTCTTCTTTGTCTTTTACTCCCATTGGAGTCCTTGTTTTTCTGAGGCCTCACCTAGGACAGAAAATTGGGATAGGCTGTATTGACCAGTGTTGCAGCTATGTTCTAGGAATTGGAGCCACACTTCAATCTTGGGAATAAGTCTATGTGTCTTGAAGCATTTGCCTTGGTTAGGAAGTTGTGATGACATCTTGGTTCAGGTCCTGAGATTCTCCTATCCCCTCACTGGGCTAGAAGGGAGTTAGACACATCATTTGGTCCTGGCCTGGGTCTGCTTTAGGGCTGGTGAATGTCTTACTGTTCAGACAGACAGTTATTTGTCTTGCCTAGTGGGCTACTCTTCTTTGTAAGGACTCCAGGAGGGCAGAACTGTGGATCCTCATTAGCCCATTTCAGTGGCTTATTTATATATAATTTTTCTGGTAGTGTGGTGATTCTTCGTTCTGTCCCATTAAAACCTGCAGGCTATTTTATTTTAAGTAATGTTAGTAGTTATAGAAATTATCTCAGATCGAACACTTACTGTGTCCAAGATCTTTTACTTACATGTTTTCTAATCTTTAAAATGACCTATATTTTGTGTATATTGTGGGAAACTGAGGCTCAGGGAGCTAGTGTCACACAGGAAAGCTGGAGCACTAACTCCCAGGTCCACCTGTGCACTCTGTGCTCTATCATGCTAAGAGTTTAAACTTGACTTATGTTACCTTCGACAGATTTAGAGACTAGAACTCTTCCTCTAATGGCCAATAATATGTGTTCTCTGTCTGTCTTTGTAGACTTCCCCGTGGCTTTGTCATTGGCTTGCTGTGCCCCCCTGTAAATAAGGAATTCCCTAGTAGAGGACAGGAAGTCAGGTTGGTCTTCCCTAGCAAGTGAAACCATGACATGATGACCCTGAAGTCCCCTGTCTCACAATAGGGAAAAGATGAATCATTAGATATAGAAGCCATTTTTATCCTCCGGTGCTCTGGGAAGCTAGATTAAAATAGACCTCTGGGGGCTAGTGCAGTGGCCCTTGTATTTTCTCTTTTAAAAAGGTCAAAATTACCTGATAATCAGGCTTGAAATCTCACTACCTGCCTGCAGGATCTGATAAGGACAAGAATTACTAATGTCAAGTTGCAGATGAGAAAGACTGATGAGGATAGAGGGGATTATTTGTAAATCCTCTGGGATCTGGGGGCTCTGTGCCAACACCAGAATCCAGTTCATCACCTTCCAGCCAGTGCCTCACCTACTGCCCTGCTTGTGCTAACAGAGTTCTTATAAATCTATGATCTTCCTCATGCCTTTTAGACATCAAATGACTCATACAGAGGAGCATGGTTTGATGAGTTGCATATAAACGTACCCAAAACATACGGATTACATTTCCTTTAAAAACACATGGGCTTAAAAATTAAGGGGGGAAAGTGCTTGGCCAATGTTTTTTGGTTTTGCAGAACACAAAACATTTGTGGAATACTTTGCAGTTACAGAATTTGCCAAACCTCAAACCAAAACACGTTTAGGTTTGTCGATCTCAATCTATCCCAGCGCCATCCAAAGGCTCAGGAAGGGAGGGGTGTAGAGGGCAGATGGGGAAGACACAGCCACCCGCTGCCCTCTCTTCAAATGCCTCTTCAGACTCTCTCCCACCCTGCCAGCCTCTCTCTGCAGCACCCTCTGAGTGCGGCCAGGCGACCGCAGTGTCCTGAGCACAGAGAAGAACTGAGGAGGCTCGGGTGAGGACACTTATTTCCATTACTGATATATAGTTTTTAAATATTTACTTATTTTGAGAGAGAGAAAGAGAGAGAGAACCTGAGCTGGGTAGGGGCAGAGAGAGAGAGAGAGAGAGAGAGAGAGAGAGAGAGAATCCCAAGCAGGCTCTGTGCTGTCAGTGCAGAGCCTGACATGGGGCTTGAATCCACAAACCGTGAGATCATGACCTGGGCTGAGATCAAGGGTCGGATGCTTAACCGACTGAGCCATCCAGGCGCCCCACCTCATATTTTAATATAAAGAGAAATCCATGGAGAGTACTCCTGACTCCCAGCCCTATCACTCTCTCCTTCCCCTCACTGGGCACCGCAGTGCCCCATCTGATTGCTGAGCCTGGGAAAGGGGACTCTTTAGGACCTGCTTCCCTAGAGCGAGTGTACATTCTGGGCTCTTGCCATTGATGATAAGTCCAGAAGAGGCAGCCTGCCATTCTGGGGAGTGGTCCCTCTTCAGGGCAGTTCTAGCCCACTCGTTCAGCCTCCACACCTACGCCTTAGTATCCAGACACCTTTGTCAGTAATAAAGCTGGTATTTCAGTCTCCATTGCTTCAGGCTCCCAGGACTTTCTTGGACTTTATTCTGACCTCAAATGAGGACAAGAGGTGACATTAATTGGGCCTTTCAGAACCCCACCAGAAGCCCCAGTGAGCCAGGGTGTCATCCCTGTGGTGTCATCATCACCAGAGCCTGTCACAGTCCTCCCTGCTTCCTTAGGAAGTGCCATTCACATGCTTCTGTGTGACAAGGTCACCACTCCTCAAGCTGTACTTATGGCGCTGCTACTTTGCATTGCCATGTGAT